TTGCCTCATAGGCTATCATTCTTATTTCCATACTTTAGATACTACTTGTCATCACGTACCCACATTTAGCCAAGTTTGTGTCATGCGAAGACAGCAATTGCAAAGATTGCCAAAGAAAACGCTGTTTAAACATACATTATACAAGAGCTAAATCTGTCTATTGTAGGTCTTTCTTTAGGCCTGAAATGTTATCTAAATTATTAATTAGACATTAATTAAACTATCCAGATCATAATCAACTCTAGATGGCATCGCTAGCCTGCGATCTTAAGTGGATTATGAGCCGATTTACTGCATAACTTTCCTTCACGATTTAACGATTAAATGGATAATCGAGACTATGCTGTTTTTCGTACTGACTTAAGTAATGATGATAGAAGCTAGGCGGAAATTTCAAACGCTTAGTTCTCGGTTCATAGTTGGTCAATTTGAATGAAATTTTCAGCAAATTGCCTTTACATTATCTAGTTTTTAACTATTTTAGTGAGAACTGCCAAACCAAATCGTTATCGAATTTCCCATAATGTATCTTTAAAGTAGCTTACGGTTGATGTCTGTTGGATGTTTTACACGATTCTGAATTTAAAGCCCAAGACTTTTGAAAATATGTGATCCACTTGACACCAATCGGCTGATTCGGTACTCCTAAGCTATACTGTACAAACTTTCACATTGTTCACTTTAGAAGGGTGGGCCCAAGAATAACACATGGCCTAAGTTTATTTCTAAGAAATCTCTTTATCCTCTAACCGTAACACTAATAAATTATTTCTATATACCTAGGTAATATTGCTAGATTTCGAATATTCATCCCGCACCACATAATCACTGACACATGACCAAAACCACATGATCCTTTGAAAGATGATTACTGGTTTGGGAAACTGCGACCTTGAAAGGTTACTGGCTTTTAGATATTTCATTCTTTCAAACATTCCTTTCTTTATTTGACGTCATTTGGTCGATTCGTTATTTCAAAGCTATAGTGTACGTCCGTAGGTACGAATGGGGTGGATAGATACTAGAAGCGTACTGGGGGGGGGGGTGACAATTGGTTGACAGATTAGATCCTGGACAAGAAGCTTTAATTAAAGCTCCTGAAGATCTGCATTCAGTGAGTACTATTAACTCAGTCTAGTTAATAGAGTAATCTATACCCAGTGTGTACTAGTTTAAGCGTTTAAAATCAACTCATTCTGGTTAATAAATTAATCTCTATTGAGTAAGTACTAGTATTGTATTCAGTGAGTACTGGTTTAACCAATTCCAAATTACATATTATCTGAAAACTCAGTTACGTAAATGTTATACGTAGATGTCTGAAAAGGTTTCGCGCCTACGGCGCTCGATTCCATTATATCATCATTCTGCCACTCCTGATCTGTGATCTTATAATCTATCACCACCATCATATTCACGGTTATAGTGAATCGCCCAGTTAGCAGTAGCGCTAGTGAATGGGTCGTGGGGCGGTAGATAGTACAAAAATGTTCTGTCAAATCTCACAAAACAAGCGGAATGTCTGCTCACTAATAATTCCTTCGAAGACAAAAAGTTGTTGTATGGGACTGTGAAAGGATATCTGACAATTCATAAACAAAATTGACTGTCACTAGATAAGAGAACATGAAAGAAAAATAGAAAAAGTCCGTGCATTACCATGTTTTTATTAGTGTAGAATGAATAAACACCCGTGAATGTACGGACTGTTTCTATTTTTCTCGTGTTCTCTTATCTAATGACATTCAATTACTTTTTTGAATTGTCAGATATACTCTTACAGTCTCATATAACAACTTTTGATCTTCGAAGGAATTTTTAGTGAGCAGAAATTCGCCCATGTATCTGTTATCACCCATCACTTCAGCCAGTTTTATAGAGGGATAACTCGTGTTTTCCTTTTGCGTTCGTCATTTCCTATTGTTGAAACATTAATTACTCATCTATCGTAGCAATGATCTCTGTGAAAAAATAATATTTGTAACGTGTTTAACCAGTTCTATCACATATGTGATAATGACTGGCACCAATATTGTCCTTTAATCTGTATTCCGTTTACAAACCCCTGTTGTATGCCTCGATATGTACAGTTTCCAAAGGCCACACTACGCTCATTTGCGGGATTACAGTTGTTTTATAAAAGACTTGTGTTATAGAGGATGATGGCTGTTGTGAGGTGGGGGAAAGTTCATTTACGACAGGGGTTCTAGAGTACAGGAATGTGTAGTGATGAAGGACGGTGCTGTTTTATGGAGGAGGTGGTTGTTTTGGAGGGGATAGATGCTTTATCGAAGGCAAACATTATTTTATGAAGGACGTGTTTATGAATGACTGGGTACTTTGATGTGGGACACTTTAGGTTGCATGACATTCAAATAATGTTGACTTATATACTGCAAACCCATTTCCATTTGTTTATCCACAGATTTGGACAACAAAATCATCAGTTCTAGTTTCTATCTAACTGGAAAGTTCTCTAAATCTCATCTACGGACGAACCGAAACCCTCCGTCGTTGCAGGAAACACCCACACTGATTCGCGCACAGGTTGACAGTTGCACACCCTAATCGAAAAAGAAATCAGAGAAATACCAACCCCGTTTTGTCGATCACCAGAAGCGTTCACTGGTTCCCTGGGGATGAAAGCAAACCAGCAGCAGCGAGGAGTGGTCGATGATGCATATGATGCACGATTGGATTTTATTAGTGTCACAGGATCTGACTGGAACAAGGGAAGGGCAGCAGGAAAAGAGGACACAATATCGTCATTAGGACAATGGGGATATGATGATATTGACGTGGAAATTTTAATGAGTATTGGAGGTAACTCGAATTTCGAGGGTACTTCTTTAGAAGGTAGGGCACTATTTTAGACAGTAGGGCTCTATATCAGAAGAGAGTGCACTATTTCTGAAGAGAAGGTTCTATTTCAGGAGAGAGGGTACTTTTTCAAAAAGGAAGGGCACTTTTTCGGAAGGTTGCCTACCCTGCCTACTCGCATCTGATAAAAAACGGTAATATCGACCCAGACAGGCTACGGCGCTGTGCAGCTATATTGAATACTGTGTTCAGCCCCAGATGGCAGATGTCTGTTCGCCTTTTATTTTAATCACTATAATGCCAATACATATAATGAGGTGTCTTTACATGTTACTGCTATAAATACTATTGTTCTGCCCCAGGCTTTATATTTATCAACATTATATTTAACACCAAAATGGGTGTTCTTCAATATTACATGGAAATTAATGGAAGTTAATTGGAAATGAACGGAAATGGGATGGAGTTTAACATTCGACTTTTCTGCACCAAGGATGTCAGTCTGTTTCACAGAGTATTACGAAAGTCTTCTAATATCTCTGTAAAAGATGAATGTCTTCAACACATGACGTCATATCACGCGGCGTCAATCATTGGCTCAATGGCACGTGCATTGTTTACATAAGACGTTATTGATTCGAGCAGAATGGTGCCTTTTACTCATTTTAATACCCATTTACACTAAAATAGGAAATAATTTTTACCTACAAATACTTCAAACGTCTTTATTTATTTTTTTAATACATTAAAAAATGTTTTAGAATTTAATTTGTCGGAGGAAAAAAGTTAATATTTGTGGCTCATTAAGTCGCATCGATGTCATCCTTATCAGTGATTGTTGCGGCCTAGCGAATATTCACTGCGGATCAGTGTGCAAGGATGCTAGTAGGATGGGCATCCAGGGGTTTTTGATCGCCGAATGGTTAGCACGTGTGCGTTGTATCATAAGGTCTGTCATTGAGTCAACTGTCGTGGTTTCGAATCCCCGGTTTTACGTGACAAGGAATAGTGACGTGGGTTTTCTCCAGGTCCTCCAACTGCTAAAAACCCCAACGCGCAAGCGAATTATTGAAATAAAATTGAACCGTCAGTCCCGAAATGACCTAGTTTGTGTCGAGTGGACGTTAAAACCAACTTCTCTCTCATACAGTGTACTTTGAGAGAAATTGAGCATACGCCTACGCCTCATCATCTTCAATAGAAGGTTTGATCTTGCTTTAACTCCGTACATCATATCAAGCCCTTCACGTAATACTCTGCATACTTTCGATTGGCTACTGACCCAGCTTGAGACCTCTCAGATTCCTCGATACAAAATATCACCGCGAATAATAAGTCTCGCGTTTCCAACTAAAATGTCTACCTGTGATAATCGTTCAATGTCAAGATTTCCGTCACTCGGCAAACCTCTGATGATTCCGGTACCCTACATCTAGCCTCGGATGTATGACTGCAAGTGATATGTACCTAGACCCATACAATTGCGATGCAGCTATCGGGTTACTTAATAGGAAAACTTGCCGCTTTTACAAAGAGTTTTAAAATGGCATCGTTCGAAGAGTGTGTAGAGTTTTCATTGCAAAGTTGTCCTTTGTTTACAGAAAATTGGATAAATTTGAAAGAAAAACAACTCCAGACATTGAAAGCTTTGTATGATCGGCGTTTTCACGGGCGCCGCCATTTGTAATCTAGGAACTTGAAAGTAGTTCCAATGGCAAAATTCGTCATACAGCCAAATATAGATGTAGGGTACTGGAGTCTGCTGAGGTTTGCCGAGTGGGTTTCCGTGGAGGTCGCCATGTTTGATTGGACTGTTTGTGTCACGACCTCTGATTGGACAACGCTATTGTTCACGTGTCTGCTGTAAAGGGGGATAATGTACCTATAAGTTCGGGAATTTCAGACTACTCTAGCAACGGCTAGATGTTGTAAATCTCGCGGTCGTTGCTTCAGGAACATGACCCTTCATCGAATTATCAGTTACTGTCACGGGATCTAGTACATGCAGACAAACATATACACGGAACTCCAATACAATGACTAGAAACCGTTCCTGTGCCGTCTACAGACTCAAGAATCCTAGAGAACTTTTTTTGCGAACACCTTGGTCGAACCAAGGACCTCCTGGAATATTGAGTCACTCTGAACAGAAATTCCCCGCCACATAAACACAAAACAGATTTGGTGGTCGGATTTTTTTTATTAAGGAAGACAATATATATACAAACGCACAAACACAAAACAGTGAATAATAATCTTCCAATTAAACGTCCAACCACAGTATTACTGTATACAAGGGGAGCATGAAGCAGTGAGCTTCTACAATTCTTATTATAGAACTAATGCTAACAATTCTTCCATGTAAATTATCAATCTGCTTAGAAATTATGTTGAAATTTGAGTAAAATAGTGACAATTCCCATCAATAATATGTTTGTAAGTCTGCATTGGCATCAAAGAGTCCAAAGGATATTCACCAAATCTGTTAACTGACCAAACACAATTTAGTTGCCGTCTTTCACTGAAATGAATTAATCCAGATTGCTGTCCATGAAATCAAAAACCAGGAATAATAGAAATCTCTTTTTGATAAATTAAAACGAAATGTTATTATTGGCAGCTTTTGTATTTCAGGATCTGAACTTAGATAAACCCAAATCTGTAAATCTTGACATCTCTTAAAACGAAATAATTTGAACTTTTTTTGATGTCTTTTGTTAACATTTACAATTTTTTTTTCAAGAGTTAATAAATTGATAGCATAAGTTCTAATGATAAGAAAAGAAAATAGGTCTTATAAATTAATTAGGAGCACCATTTGCTAGTTATTTTCATCAAGTAAAAAGTAATAAAGAATAATAAAGGTCATAAATTAAACATTTTACTTTCCCAATTTCAAACCAGTAAATGTATTTATTCAAATCAAAAATAAATATTTTACAATAAACTTTACTAATTATAAGTCAGTAATTTTTTTAAAAATTAAAATTAAAAATTTTACAATCAAGGTTCCATCCTTTAAGCCAATAATCATTTTATTAATATATATCAATAGGATATATATCAATATTAATATTAGGTACCGAATTACACTATATATTGACTATGATTTCTTTTCATATATTAACATAATTCTGTAAGAAATTGAATGAATTATTAACAAAGATTTGATTTTCTACAAATGGTCTGTTCATCTTTTGTTTTTGATTCAGCTCAATGCTTCATGTTATTGTTAGAGATCTTTATGTCCAGAGAACAAAGGTGACTACTGTAGTTTTATTTAGGATAGATTTTAACTATTGATAACAACAGCACAATATGTCCATAAAAACAAAATCTTATTCTAATATTTGACTGGTAACCACAGATAAAAGATTGGCAAGAGATGGTTTTATTTTAGAGTTATTGCACAATGCCATCCCACTGTCTTCAAAAAAATTAATATAGTTTTAACACATGGACGAAATCTGTAGTCTTTCAAATTTGAAAACTACTTTCCAAATATAAAATTTATGACCCAGAACAGTGTAATTTTGGATTTAGTCTAAGAACGATAATTTTTAAAAATTTGTTAAAACTCTTATCTGTGGTTACAAAACACAGGTGCTTTTACTATTGACATTGATATTGTTGATCCAGGTAATTGACACACTTACGGTAATGTACATATTACTAGATTTTAACACAACTGGGGGGGATGTAAGTGGGGAAGGACACAGCAGGGGTACAGATCACATTGTTATAATAATAATAAAATAATGAATTAATTACAACCTGTTATTGTGTACAAACTACTGCTAATATAAAACATCACTAACCGCACAATATACACAGCTATTATTATGAACAAATTCTAACTAAACTTTGTGGAAGATATACTCATTGAATTCTGTACTTGTTTTTAGAATATCAGAAAATTTTGAAAATATTTTATCAACAATCTAATGTAAACCCCCAAAAAAGAATTTAAATATTATTTGAAAACTAATTTTTATTCTCAGTTCGATATTGTAAAAATGTTTTTAAATAAGTTTTTAATGAATTCGATAAAAATTAGAAATCTGATTGATTCTCATTCTGTAAACAAATCGTTCAATGGGCAAATCTTCGGGGTAATTAATTACATGATTTACACGTCTCCACAGGTTATATTGTATTGTGAAACTGATCATCCGTCATAATTACTATTCTAACGTACTTCACGATGGAATGTTTCAATCTGTAGGTCCAATTTGTAGTTGGGACGGTCAGCCATATCAGAGATAATAACCGGATCTGTGGCGCGAAAATTCTACACCTACGGGATATCATAATCCAGAGCACTGATATGATATAACTACCCACAAGTTAGCCTTCGTTTACGACCTTATAAATAAACCTACTTACATCATTTCTCTTAAAGCGAAATTCTAAATAATTAATAATAAATATCAATTCTTATTTACAATTACTACTCATCGTCCAGAACAAAATATATTTGTAAAGATTTTTTTATGTATAAGTAGGCCTATTAGTTTATTAATGAACATCAAATCCACATAGGAACTTTTGGTATTAAATTATTATTAGGTATTTTTTTAATACAATTATTTTTACATGAGCTTAAAAGCGATAGTTGCATAATTTTTAACAAAGTCAAAACATAATTATTTCTATATCTGTTACTTAATAGGTTGTAAAATTACTATTATACAATTCTAGGAATCATTCTAGCAATTAAAATAACACCAAAAAGATGGAAATAGCAAAATTACCTCCCTTGTTTTCTATATGCTCCATGGAATTGGCCAAGCTCCATGTTGATGTTCTAGCTTGAAAATGATATATTTGCCAATTTCTCAACTGACAATAATGAATAATAAGATTAATAGTATTACCGGTATTCTTTAACAAGGTAGGACTGTGTATAGATTCAATGTATTTTATAAGGCTTTATTGTAACATATTTTAAACATATGACTTAAAAAAAAAAAATGCAACTATCGCTTTAACTTAAAGTTACAATAACCGGTAATTTGTCCGTTAAGACATCTTGAACACTACCAAAAAACTGGCCCAATTAATAACGCCTCTTGACTCACTTTCTCAACACACTGTGCTTTAAGAATAGGTTTATAAACGAATCCATCGCCGAAAAATAAATCACATTCAATTAAAATAACAGAATGCTTTGTAGAATTCTCAGCATTCTGTGATGATATATATAATAATAAGTAATAATGGGTATAATAATAATATATAACAGTACAAAAAACAATAACTATTAGTAAACATAGAGAAAAGCCATGGCAAAAATTACATCAATATAAACAAGTTCTTGTCAACAATCAATACTGCTTTAAATTATGCATCATTTTTATTGAATCGATCAAAATATGGACAGTTATCGGCTATTTCGTCGATAATTGTCATTGAATCTTTCCGGAAAGTAACAATAATATCAATACGAATAATATCCTGCTATAATCCATGTCACATTGGGACATGCTCCATCACGCTGTAATCCACCACAAAGGACCTACTCTGATCTGCTACTTCATCAAATGACTAGAGATATTATTATAAACCACCTAGCATTTACAACACATTTAAATTTTTATAAGTTTGTTATCCAAAATTGAGGTCTTATCAAATTTTAGAAAGGTTTGCTCGAACAAATCCATGAAAGCATTACCCTGGGTCTTGTACAGTTTTCATCAAGTTACAAAATTCAAAGCAATCTGAATCATTGACAAAAATCGTCAAATATAATCAACAAGTACAAATAATTAAAAGCTGGTAAAATATTTAAATCACGTGATTATGAGTAAAAGTGCTATCAAGAAAAAATATAACTACAGAGTGATTAAAACAATTAAAATATATATGTATATATATAGCAATATCATGAGGACAACGAAAACAGCGACAACTCATTCGTTGAAATACAGTACTAAATGAATTCTTTTAAAGTGATTTCCAGGATGATCAACGGTAGCTATTAATGATTTAATACCACAGGCAGCCGATTGTAGCCATACAAATTAACTGACATTTAATGTGAATCTATCTGATAAAATGATAATCTTGAGAATTAATTGTCAGTTCTGAAAATTAATTAACAATTGTGCTGAAAAGTCAATTGATAATAAAAATGTCCATTGAGAATTGTCCTTAAAGTCAATTGAAAATTGTCCTTAAAGTCAATTGAAAATTGTCCTTAAAGTCAATTGACAACTGTGCTTAAAGTCCATTGACAACTGTTCTTTAGGTCCATTGACAACTGTGCTTAAAGTAAACTGACAATTGCTTCAAAAACTGATGATGATAATTAACAATAGGTTGAGTATTAATCAAAAATGAACAATCAACTACCTGAATCCTACCAAGTAAATTCAATATTATATTTATCCGTACAGAAATTAAAACAATAAATGAATTTAATCTCAATCTTAGAACAACGGACCTTTGAATTAACAATTCAATATTTTAATTGAAAGCAGTATTAAAGCAGTATTAATTTCTAAATAATTCAGATAAAAAATTCAACAATTTTTAAATTTTCAAAAAAACGAAATAACACTGATCATTCGTTTGTCCTACGACATCCAGAGTAAGACTTACATCTAATCTTCTTTCCATATTTGGTGTTATAAAAGGGGACACTATCTAAGCACATCTCTTTGTTATTGTCACTGTAAGAACACAACTCTCTTTGTTGAGCTTTATAAATTATGGTGGTTAAATAGTCATCGTTTGGTCGTAATTGACGACATGTTTTGATCTATGCGTCCGTTACTAGGATAGTTTATAGAGTTTGTGTTATCGTCTTAAAGCCATATGATAGGATTTTTATATTTTATTATTTTTTCTTTTTACATGTAGATCAGAAACTGAGGGTTGAGTCGTCCCATTCCAATTGGTCTTTTCCTGGTGGTCTAACCTCTTCATCGGAACTATCTATTTCATCGTGGAAATCACTTCCGTCGTCTTCACTATCGGTATCGTCGCGTAAAGCTTGTTGTACGTTATCTTCGTATTCAAACACCTGCTGTGAAACAGAAAAAAGAAAAATAGATTTTCAAAGAAGACAATACAAAACTGAATTTAATTTATGGAATGAAGTCAGATGACTTATTTTGGCCACTGATTGTAATTCTGCCTTTTTCAAACAAAATCTAATTTGCCATGGCTTACTCTATGCTAAAATGTGCATTTAAAACCAATATGCTGTGAATGGAATTCAGTCCCAACTGTCACGAGTTCTTGTACACGACCCTCCACTTAATGTCCCATCTGAACAACTAGACCATGTTCCTTGTCAGGGGGAAAACATGATGAATGTTGTGGAACTGGACCGTTTTGGGACTGATATTCCTTTATGCACATGCTAATCAGTACATGGGGATAGACTTCGGTTTTCTATCCCATCTGAATAATTAAATGTTTTTTTCTTTGTAAGACCCTCCCATCCTGCAACCCTGACAAGGGAAAACTAGTCTGGAAAATCAGGAAGGACTCTCGGCCAACACCGAGATCGAACCTGGAACCACCAAGTTCGTGAGCCAGTGCCATACTTACTGAGCCACCGTGGCTCCACTGGACATTGAAATCTGGTGTTCAAATGCAATGAAATAATACAGACATCCAACCATGCTAACCATGGTAAAACAATCAATTAGTTAAGAATTATTATGTAGTTACTAAATGCACTACATCCTAAGCATATTAATACAGATATCCAACCATGGTAAAACAATTAATTAGTAAATAATTATTTTATAGTTACTGAATGCTCTATATCCTAGGCATATTAATACACATTTCCAACCACAGTAAAACAATCAATTAAGAATTATTATGTAGTTACTGAATGCTCTATATCCTAGGCATATTTATACAGACATCAAACCACGGTAACCATGGCGAAACAATTAATTAGTAAATAATTATAATGTAGTTACTGAATGCTCTATATCCTAGGCATATTAATACAGACATCCAACCATGGTAAAACAATCAATTAGTTAAGAATTATTATGAAGTTACTGAATGCTCTATATCCTAGGCATATTAATACAGACATCCAACCACGGTAACCATGGTGAAACAGTCAATTAGTTAAGAATTATTATGTAGTTACTGAATGCTCTATATCCTAGGCATATTAATACAGACGTCCAACCACGGTAACCATGGTGAAACAAATAATAAGTTAAGAATTATTAGTTACTGAATGCTCTATATCTTAGGCATATTAAGTTACCTGTACCTCCTGCTCCATCGGATTAACGGTTATATTTAAAGCAGAGTTATCCCACTCCATTTCCTGTTTCTCGTCAACTTGTACGACCTGCGTTCGTCTGTGTACAGCTCGTATTCTGATTACACCCAGAATTATCATGAACAAAAGGAAGCCAATACAAACAACAATGATGGCAGCCATTCCAAAGTCTGTGGAAACAGAAAAAATAGAAGGTTAACATACTTTTGTTATTAAATTGAAAAAATGAAATGAAATGGGGTTAAACGTACTACTGTTTTGCTCCAACTGGGCTAATGGAGACAGGCATACGTCATACAGTGTGCTATGAGGAAAATTTTGCCTGGATAGCGGCACTACGGCCTTCTCTTATATCGAATTCCAACTGTCAAGGGATCTTTTACGTGCACACCAATGTGTACACAGGACCTTGGTTTTCCGTCCCATACAACGAAAAGACAGCTGTCCTTGTCAGGCCCTCCGTCCTGCATCACTGACAAGGGGGAACCACACTGGAAAATCTGAATGAACTTTCTCGGCCAATGCAGGGATCGAACACGCGACCCCTAGGCTAGCGAGCCAGCCTCTTAACCTGATTTAAATACAACTCCTTTTTATTAAATCCTACCAAGTCAATCGTTAGATTTAATGCATAATTTAGAAGACTTACTGGAAGTAGCAGCTGCCACATCAGGTGTGATTTTCGATGATAATCTCTGCATAGCATCATGTTCTACGGGTTGATTGTGAACATTACTCTGTACATTAGCAGCATTATTATATTCTGGTTCTTTATGTACTGCAACCAACTTTAAAACAAATATACAATTGTTCTTACTCATTAAAGGCAAAGCAAGAATATTTAGAAGACATCAACATCCTTGTATTTTAAAAACTAAGTCAAATTATTATTAAATCCGAGAAAGGGGGCACCACTGTCTACTGGTTCAATGAAGACAGGCATATGCTACAGTGTGCTGGTGGTGTGCGGGAAATTTTGCTCAAATAGGAATTGAATTCTATCTGTCAATGCCAATGTGTACATGGGACCTCTGTTTTTGTCTTATCCGAACGACTAGATGCTGTTCGTTGGAAGACCAGCTATGATGCACTCGGACAAGCGGAAACCACTCCCGATAATCCTGAAGAGCCTTCTCGACCAACACCCGCAATGAAATGAAACAGAGTTTAACGTCCTACTGTTCTGCATGACAAGGAGTGTGGTCACCGGTCAAAGCTTGTGAGTTTTCTCACGGGACCTCGGTTTTTCGTCCCATTCATAATACTAGACATTTGTCTTTGTCAGATCCTCCATCCTGCAACACTGACAAAGTTTGTGATTTTCCAACGTGGTTTCCCCTTGTCAGATCCTCCATCCTGCAACACTGACAAGGGGAAACCACGTTGGAAAATCACAAACTTTCTCGGTCAATGCAGGGATCGAAAAACCAACAACCGCATCGAAACCTCCAGGTTAGCAAGCTAGCGTCATACTCACTGAGCCACAGTGACTCAACTCGGCAGATGAAACCCAAGTTAACTGAATGTCTTACCTTTGTGATAAACAGGTTGCTAATAAATCTCTGATTCTCTGATGAACATTTTAGAGCGAGTGAACGACTATTTAATATACTGGGTTCATTGTGATAATAATGGATCTTTCTTAAGACACTGATATATCTATCTATTGTGTCAGCATCTGAAAAATAATACAAATTATTATACCGATTCTTTCATGGCTTTATCTCTGCTTAGTTTAAACACCAAATGCTCATCATCAGCAAAACAAGATCATAATCAACTCTTGATGCCATAGGATACTCTGATTTTAACTAAATTAGAACGGTTCGCCATTTAAATATTTCATTTAAAAATGGGAAAGCGAGGCTAAGTCTCGAATATACTAGTGCCCTGGTTACCACAATGCACATATCTTGTCGAACCTTCAAAGGCTAATATCTTTGCTCAGAATAAAGTAATTTGAATGAAATTTTCAATATTTTCATTTTACATTATCTTTTTTTGAGCTATTATGGCAAGAATGGTTAGCTCTTTATCTAAATCTTACATAATGTATCTTAAATACAAGGTTATTCAATACGATTCAGAAGAGCTAGAAATCAAAATGTTTTGGTCTGAAGAAAATTTTGAAACCATGTCTATTCAACAGCCTGCAGAGATGAAGGATTTTGTTGAATAATGAAAATACACAAAATGTTCCATTTGAAATTTAAAACGGACACTCACAGAACCATTATTTCATAAAAATAAATTTTTGGGCGTGAATATTTTTAACTTACTTGTAATAACAACACCATCGTTGGTCTCACTCCATTCTAATCCCAGATTACCCATAATATGAGTTGGTAGAGACAGATGTTCATAGAAGAGATTTAATGGAGGATCGGCTTCAATCTTACAAGAATCTAATAATATCTCAGTCCTTGGTTCTTTCAAACTTGTCTCTTCTGTAACAAAATATAAATCATGTCAATCAAGTATGGTCTTTTAATGTACTAATAATCTTATATCCAATTTTAAGTGCTGAGGGTTCTTTTACGCACAATCCAATGTGTACACTTGACCTCGGTTTTCCATCCCTTCCAAACGACTATACATGTCTCGCCAGGCCCTTTGACACTGGGGGGGGGGGGGGGGGATGACGTAAAAATCCCACAGAATTTCCCCCTTCAACATCAGAAACGAACCAGAGACCTACTCGTTAGCAAGCCAACGTCTTCCTCACTAAGCTCTACAACAGCTCCTACCTACAATGGGGATATTGGACTAAACGCTCCAGAATTAAAATCTCACAAATCAGCAAAAGGCATTTTCAACCGAATAGGATGTCATTTGACCAACCACCAATCCTGAAACGTTTCATTATGATTCTATTCTGTCAATGCGGAACAATTAGGGCAGACCATTTGAGCACCCAATACCTGTCCAATAGGAGTAATGAATAAATTAATAACTATATCTACACAAAACTAGCTTATAAATGAAATCAGACTGCTCAAGATGTAAATAATTTAGTAGTCTCAAGTAATGCCCAGGCATTGACCAAGGCAGGTAACTCCATTTTGTTGAACAATTTTACTAAAAAACAGACTTGTGCTCAGAAAAGTGAAAGTAACATAAGTTACTTTTAAAGTTTGCAACATCAATTTCAGCTGCTCGCATTTCTTTACTGATGTAAAATTGTTTTCAATGTTGTACAAATATTTGAATCATACATCAGTAAAATACTATTAGTTTTACATTACTAGAAATCATAAAATGTGTCAAGACCGACTGTAGTTTTGGATGGTACTGGCTTGTCCAGGGTTGTACTGGTATGAACTATATCACTGGGTAAGGCAACATTTACATGTATGGGTAAGGCAACATTTACATGTACTGAGTATTATAGGATGTCTAGTCAACATTTACATAGTACTAAGTGCTGAAAGGTAAACAGTAAATATAATTTCTGTATAACTTACGTGCAAGCATAGCTTTAGAAACTTTCAAGGCCAGTATTGCGGCTTTGTCTTCATCTTCTTCATCCTCTTCCTCCTCCTCTCGTGTTTCGGTTGTCTTGGATGCCTCGATTTCGATATCTTTAAATACTAGTAAGCCTCGTTCGAATTCAAAGACAAGTTTTGTGAGATTTTTGGATCCTGTGATGGTAATGATTGGTTTGGGTGGTTCTTGTACCATGACGTATGTTTGTACTTCTGGTAGTGTTACAGTTTCACCATTACATCTGTAAATAAACAAATTATATATCTTTACAAATAGGAAATAAATAGAGTTTAACGTCACATCAACACTTTGTTATTGTGGTCACATCCAGCTATTCTTCTCAACCCTTGTCAAGATATGAACCTATTACATTTTTATCGATTGTCCGAAAAATTGTTTTGCACACAGTATTTGCAAAAGATGATACTTTGAACAGTCACGTTTGCCCTATTTGTTAATTCTATGTGCACACCAACATGAACCACAGGACCCCAGTTTTTCATGTCTTTGTTCTTTGCCAGGTCCTCTAAGGGAACCAGACTGGAAATATCTTGATAAACATGTTGTAAAAAGATTGCAACATTAATGGAGATCAATTAATATAAGCCTTTGCTTAAAAGATCCCTTGGCAGTTGGAATTCGGTATAATAGTAGGCCATAGTGCTGCTGCCTGGGCTAAATTCCCCGCCATAGCACACTCTATGGTGTATGCCTGTCTTCATTAGCTCAGTCGGAGCAGAACAGTAGGAAGTTAAACCCCCATTTCGTATTGTTTAAATCAAGTTATTTACACTACTTACTTTAGCTGTGTTTGTAAGAGTAACTTTCTACGTCCTGGTGTAGGGAAACTTCTAACATTAACATAGGCAACTTCATGTAATAACTTCTCTACCTCGGCAACATCTTTACCAGAAATATTAAACTCTGTCATTTCATTGTTGAAACTTACACTCTGTAAATACAAGGTAAAATGTCACGAATAGATATAAAACATGACATAATTATATATAATTAGCTGTATACCCACCAACACTTCCTTATAGGAGTATCGTGAACCTGAAAATAGTAGAACTCTGAAACTGGAAGTAATAGAACTCTGAAACTGGAAGTAGTAGAACTCTGAAACTGAAAGTAATAGAACTCTGAAAGCGGAAGAAGTACAACTCTGGAACTGGACTCGATATGCTCTTATATCCAAAATTCCAGACACAGGGCATCCCTAGTGTAGCCACCAAGCTCGAACAGTCAAACAATCCAAATTCGTTTGTTTGTTTGTTTCCTAAGGCTTAACGTCTGCTTCCCCCTTGGGTGATATCACTGACAATACAAACAGATAAACATTGATATATTGATAAATATTGATATAAGTTACTTAGTGCTCCTACGACTAGTTGGATAGTTTGTTTCCTAAGGCTTAACGTCTGCTTCCACCTTGGGTGATATCACTGACAATACAAACAGATAAACAACAGTCACAAATATTGATATAAGTTACTTAGAGCTCCTACGACTAGTTGGATAGCCGTAAACGGTTAGAACTGGACGGTTAAACGGTTTGAATTCAACGGTACGGTTATTCGGAGATATCCCCCATTACACAGAGTTGTGTCTGATTATATTCCTCTTTATAACGAACCTTGCCCGTTGTCATTTTGTATTTGATGTTTGAAAATCTTAGAATGTAACAGTCGTCCTACGATGTCGACTGCTAAAAAATAATACTATTAATAGCACTCATCGTAGTCATACAGCAAAGTCAACGAACCTTGTTCTGACTTTAGCTATTGTTAATCCAATCTAAATACTTCTCGGCATTTCTAACTATATTCTACCTTGTTTATTATTTACTTCAAAACGTTACCACCATTCAAAATATAATCATAAAGGCTAGAAAATGACATTATACTAGATTCGTTACGACATTCAACACGATTCATATCTCGTAATTTCTCGCAAGAATTCTACTTTGGTTTTTAGTTAAATTAACCAATCATAAAAATTCTACTTGCAAGCGAGGAATTATTTCTTTATTGTCCAATCAATAGATGCCTTCCAATTTACTTTATTCTATTCTTAGTAACATTGTGTAATCGTAATATTATCGCCATCTGTCACGTACGAAGGGAAACAGAGTATTGTTTTGTATATTATCGTTATATTGAATTAAAAAATGTTTCAAATGAACCAAGTTAACCAGGTAAATAAATAACTACGGCCCTAAGATAGTTTAAATTTTCATTAAAGAATTGTACATGTCTGAAAAAATTCCTGAAATTTTTGCGCGTGTAATGCCTTTTAGGCGAGCATAGCGTGCGCACGAGTAATGACTTGCACCTCCTGACAAGCCCTGTTTTATGTTTAAAATTGATACCATACGGTTAACGGTTAGCTACGGCTATTCGAATATCAAAAAGTCCTAACCGTAGGAGCACAAAAGTTACTTGTGTTTTACTTTGTATATCAATATCTCCCTAATCACTACATTTTCACACCTTAAGACCAGTCAACATCTTTGATAGTTTCTAATTAATTTTCATTAAGGACTGGAAATCTAATTCAGAGTCTTCTTCAAAGATCCTGTCATCTACTCTGAACACACTTCATTAATAAACATGTATACTTACTGAGCCGGTCTGCATCTCTCCAACAGCGTGGAAGTCAAGGCTTTCCTTACAGTTGTTTAGACATCGAATAACTCGGTCACTTTCTCTCTTTGCTTTCAATACAGATAACCCAGCTAGATATCCCTTGAAATAATGTTCAAACCTTGATTTACCTCCTGAAACAAATACAAATAAATATCATTTAATTATTGACACATCATATCTACAAACTTTATAATCGGTTGCAATTCATTTGATTTGTTCACAAGACAAAGAGGTGAATTGGGTGGGTAGATCTGATTAATTATTTTTGGCGGAAATCAAATGGGGTTTAATGTCATACTTTTCTGTATCGAGCGAGGGTAATCGAGATGTGCATCTATGCAGAGTGCTTCATTGCAGATAGAGAGAAATGGGGTTTAACATCCATGACACAAACTTTAATAATTCGCTGTGGGAGGAAACCCTTGAGGTTGGACAGGCGAGACCTTACTCCATGTCACATACAAACCACACCACTTGACTCAATGACAAGACCTTGTGATCCAATGCACACACATTAAACCATTCAGCCACCAAACACCCTGTGCGTCATTGGAAATTTTGCCAAAACAACAGCATTTCTGCAAGGGTTCCTGTATAAGCTAAAGATAATAAAATCATTGTGATAATTACTAGTTAGGTAGTATTTACCTTGCCAACAAGCTCCAACAGATAGTTTGGTGTAGTGAACTTTACTAGATTTATGAAGTGGCCAGTCATCAATTTCTTCAAATACTGTTTTATCTTGTAGTAAGAGTTTACCATCAATATACAATTTAACCTGTAATTGCAACATGTTCATTGGGTTTAATTTCGAGACTAACATTTGGTTTAATTTTATTTCAATAATTCCCTTGCGTGTAGGGATCTTTAGCAGTGGGAGGAAACCGGATGACCCGAGAAAAAACACCAGGTTGGACAGGAGACCCTACTCCATGTCATGTACAACCGAGAACTCAATGACAGACCTTATGATACAGATTGCTTGGATTCAATCGGATTTAAACACATGCCCATTAAAACATTTTATCTAACATTTCTAAAGATAGGCTACTTGTTTATATTGCTGCAGAGAATGCAGAATGATCCCAAACGTTCAATTTATAAAAGTTTTGTAAAGACTGAACAGAATTGAACTATTTTAGATAGATTTTCCCTTTAAAGATTCAACTGCAACTGTGTGGTACTCTGCAAATGATTCAAAATCCCTCAGTGGCTTTCAAAAGTTTCATTTTAAATGTCAATGTCTTATTCTTTGTTCATAAAAACTTTGTATTATTTTCCATCATCCAAGCCAATTACAATTTAGAAAATAACTTACTTTATTAATATTTTCCATTGATTAAAAAAAGAAAATCGAAAACAGAAGAAAATAAGTCCATTATATAAATGAAAGTGTATCACAGGTAGTTCTGTTTAATAAGCAGTTACCTCCCTTAAATTAAGTGAGTCGTTTCTATAGTAACAGCCATTTAAGCAATACATGTCACTTGAAGTATGTGGATTAATCTCAAGCAGCAGTTCTTGAAATAAATGGCCACTCAGCACATCTGGTTTTCAAAAATTTCAAAACACTTCTTATTGAATTAATGAATGAAATGAGGTTTAATGTCCTTCTTTTCAGCACTTCCTGGGCTAATGAACACAGGCATATGCCATACAGTGGTCTATACAGTGGGGAAAGTCATGGATTCGTTTACGGGCAAGCCAATGTGTAAATCTCAGGAACACCCTGTCCTTGGCAGGAATTCTTATTGAACAGAGCTGTTTAATTTAAAGAATTGGCAGGCCAAATGTTCCATTCTCAATCAAATAATAATTATAACAGTTCTCCTTCTGACAATAAACTAAAGAAGACTAACTTACTGAATTTTGGTCCGCGTTTTTCAGATCAACACTGATAACATAGTGATGCCATTCTGCATCGTTGATTTGTGGAATGTGCCATCTCCATTCAGCTGGTTTAAAGATTTCCATCTCAGCTTCAGTTGTTGGTTCTCGTCTTAACAACAATACCAATTTTTCTCCATGAACGAAAACAGCGTAATGGTGTCTATTCATTTCTGAAACCAAAAAACTCCATTCATCAACAACAATGCCCTTGTATACAAGTTTGTTTTCATCTTGAGTGAAGCCTAAATCATTACAGGCCTGGGACTCTACAACACAGTGAACGCTTACAACTGCCCCCTAGATCCATTCCCTTGATTTATGTGTTGTTCATTGCTTGCAATATCTTTTTAATTTGTGTGTCGGGTTTGACTTTATGGGTTTTGTCATTGTGTGGTGCGGTCCTCCTGCACCTAATATAAGCAAAGTGCTCATATACTGGAACTTATCCATGATTATGCTATGATCCACTTCACATCTTAGTCCAAACCTTTCTAAGTTACTTTTTGTTCTTCCATTATGTTAATTAGTTGCTTTTCTTATTCCTTTAAAGATACATTATGTAAGATTTAGATAAAAGGCTGACCATTCGTGTTATAATAGCTCAAAAATAGATAATGTAAGACGAAAATATTGACCATTTCATTCAAATTAATTCATTCTGAACCAAGTTATCACCGTTTGAAGTTTTGACAAGTGTGTGCATTGTGGTAACCAGGGCACTGGTATATTCGAGATTTAGCCTTTTTTTTCCTATCTTTAAATTAAATTTCTCAATGGTGAACTGTTCTAATATAGTTAAAATCTTGAGTATCTGATGCCATCAAGAGTTGATTATGGTCTGGAGAAGTTAATAAATGTATAATAATTTAGATAACATTACAGGCCTAAAGAAAGACCTGTAATAGACAGATTTAGCTCTTGCATAATGTATGTTTAAGTGTGTGTATCACATGTCGTGGCAATGGGAAATAACATACCTAAAGGTTTGGAAATTTCAGACTAAGCTAGCAACGGCTAGAATTCGTTGCTTCAGGAACATAAGCATGACCACAGTATAGGACTACATTTCAATGTGGGCATATACAAATTTACAACCATTCACCTCCAAGTGTCTCAAATCATTAAATTATCACTTACCTTCTCCATCAGACATACACAAGATGTGTTCCTTTTCAACTTTCTTGTGAGGTGTGTCGTAATCATCACTAAAATCATGTTTCATCCATGTGGAAATGGTGAACTGTTGATCTAAAGTATGGTTGAAATAATTCTCTGGAACTATAGCCGCATTTTCTCCATTAAAGAAAAACACTTGATCGCTCTCATGGCCGTCGTCTGTCTGTAGATTTTGTGTCCAATCGGCTAATGGTGGTGGGGGTAATAAGTCAACGCTCTCTCCACTGGCACCTACATAAAATAAATTGAATTAAATCATTAAATTGGAACAATGTTTTTTTTTTTTCAAGATCTCTGAAAAATGTTGTTTTGTCTTATTATTTTTCAACAATCAGAAAGTAGGCCTATAGAGGTTTTCTGATGCCTAAAGCAAAAGAGTTTCATATATTATATATTCATTGATAAAGCTCCAAAGTTAAATGATCGATTATGGCAATATTAGACAGCTTGGAAAGATGGCCAAGTTAGGGGCTGATCAAGTACCTGCCATGTACCACGCCCCTTCCCCCAGCAAAGATATTGAGAAGCCTAGCAACTGGCTCAGAAGATCGGCCCAGCTTAAGAAAATTGTGAAAGAGTCTAGAATTTGGAGATAATTTACAGTTGTGGATATTGGATCGCTTCAGGTACAACACACAGCATACATGTATAAATGGCAATCTTCAATGCTAAATAAAATATTGAAGAGAAATTTAGAGATAGCAACGTTAGAATTAACCCAAGTAATAAAGAAACTTACCACAGATTTTCCTCTGTGAAGTGATTGAAAATGTATCTCGATCACAACCTTTACCGATGTGTTTGGTTGCCAATGTCATCTTAACAGAAACATTGTCTGGGATGCATGTTGGGTCGCACATTCTCAATCGTGCATTTTCTGCTACCTTCTGTCGTCCACTGCCAGCAAAGTATGTTGTTCTATCAGAAATTCCCTGCCAACCATTTCGACAAATCTCCTTGATGAAAATGTTTACTGAAACTGGTTTCGATGTTTTGCCACCACAATCTTTAGCAACAACTTTCATGATGAAATTCCGGTGTCTGCTGTATTCCAGTATTTTTGTGTTTCTAATGTTTCCGTCTGCGTCGATTTCGAATGGAACATTTGGAGTGAGAATGTTGTAGCCGCAAATATCTCGGTATGTTTGAGATTTGTCTTCGTCGACTGCGCGAATGGTGAGGAATTTGTCGTACAATTTTCCTTCTTCGATGGTGATGTAGTACGAGGCATTTTCGAAGTTTGGGGCAAACTTATCAACATCTTTGACTTTAATCATAACAACAGCTCTGAAAGATTACAAGAATAATTTAGTCTTCATATTCTTATCTGTCGGTTCGGATGATAATTTTAGTTGAATCAGAGAAAATGTCAAGTACTAATGAACTATTATTATATGTACTTGACATGATTAACTTTGTGTCAGGCATGTACTGATAAAAACTATAAAAATACAGAAATAAAAAAAATATAAAAATAAAATCAAGTATTTTTCAATATCAATAGCAATGTGCATGTATTTTGTAGGGAAGTCTTTCTTTTCCACAAATCTATAAATATCACATTTAAATGTCACTTTACACCAGTAAATGGGCTGGTACTCGCCTACATGTTTGTTTCCAACACTATAAATGGCCTTGACCTTTGAGCAATTCCTGTGGTTGATGGGATGGGTTTGTTTTATTTTATTCATTGTGTCCTTATTTGTCACTTCCTTCAGAACAAGAATTGTGTTTTTCCCATGAAGGAAAATGTCCTGTCAACAGAATACTTTGTTCTCATTTTGAGATTAACAATATACAGTTCATATTGTCTCTATGATCATGTGTGCAATGCTAGCTACGATAATCTAGACAAGACAGTGATGTTTTCACCCACACTTAATCAAATTCCAACTGTTAGGGAGGGAAATTTTATTTCAATAATTCACTTGCGCTTAGGGGTCTTTAGCAGTGGGAGGAAACCAGGGGACCCGGAGAAAACCCACGAGGTTTGTTAGGTGCCCCTATTCCTTGTCACGTACAAGTGGACAATCAAAACCACACCACCTGACAATGACAGAACTTCTGGTCAACCATTCTCCCCCACGCCCGCCCCCCCCCCTCCCCAAAACAAAAACTGTTAGGAGTACATTTATTAGCACACCAATGTGTACATGGGTCGACCTATCTGAACAACTACTCTAGGGACAATCTTACTTGGCATACGTTAAAAGGGCTCTCACTGGTGAGTGGGAACCGTTCAAAATTTCCTCTATAGTTAAGAAATATTCTCTCAATTTATGGTGAGAGACTTTAAGGAATATTTAAAGCTAGGATATAAATCTTTATAAAGTGATTGACTTACGGGTTTGAAATGCGTCTTGGCATTCCACAATCATTGGCTACTATGCTAAATCTATAATGCTTTCTCTTTTCATAGTTTAATTTATAGCCTTCTTTCACCCGAATCTCAGCCTCTCCAGTGGTTCGGTTTGTAACTTGGATAACAAATGGCATCTCCAACTTTTTCTTATGTTTAACAATATCATAGCCACAGATAAATTCTACAATAAATAAATCAAAGACAATTTTTAATCAAGTGTGAAAATAAAGATGCATATAAAAATGTTTAATGAATAGAGTAGATGTATTACAAATCCCCTGCAGTGAAAAGCTGATCTTTTTATTTGATATGAATAGAAACTGACAGTAATGTACATTAAAATCTGAGTTTATTTTTATGTCAGAATAAGCATATTTCACATATTTTCATTGTTATATGTTTATACAAGGCAATCTATTCCTGTCAGTTTCTCCTCAAAACAAAACCTGACAGATAAGACATAAATAATCCTTATAAAACATATAGAACTATAGCATATAGCAAATAATCTGCTTGATAATGATACCTGTATGTGTATTATTATTATTTCAGCATTGAAATGTAGCATGTTAATAAAATTCAGAAGTAGTATATATATATATATATATATTTATATAAGTGTGTTAATCTTAGACATAAATATTTAAAGGTCCTATATATAACTTTGAGATTGATCTAAAATCTTCAATGTTAAATTCTATACCCTTTCAAAATGTCCATAAACTTTTTTATGTATATGACTTAAATTACCGATACATGTATATTCCCGAATGATCAATATATACTATAGAAGTTATTCTATGTAAAAAGGTATTGAATTTAAGGAACAATTGATAAATCCTTTAAAGGCATAAAAAGCACTATTTGGGTATTTGAAACAGATGTTTAGAATCATGAAATTTATAATTTACTAGTATCACAATCAACCAAATATTTAGTCATGAATGGACCACAACCTTTTCTTCAATAATTTACAGTAAATTTCAGACACATTCTAATTTGTCATATCATGTACATAGGTCTTGAATAGAATCTATATTAACACGTCAACTTACTGGCACCACCAACTTCATCTCTGTCTGTAGCCTTAAGCGCTGGTCTAATCCTGGAGACTTTATTCTCATTTTCATTAATGATGGCATGGAACTCTGGTTTACCTCGATCGTTTACAACGTCAGATTCAATAACTGGGTCAAAATAATTTGGTTCTGAAATGATTAAAAATAAAATATCAAATCCTCAGAACAAATCCTTATTGTTCACGGACCAGATAGAAAATTAAATACATGCGAAGTGCTAAAGGGACAAGTTTTCACACATTGTTATCTTTTGAAAATTTATATGAGTCATCAACTACAGCTGTTGGAACAATAGACTACTGTCCAAACCATTTACAATGTACTAATAAATACGAGATTTAAGATATGGTTTAAAAAATCAAACCTAAGCAATAAATAAATTTAAAATCCATACAATTAAACATGCCACTTGTTAATTTTGGCTAAGCTTATATAAATTGATTTCACAAAATATTCCCAAAAAAGATAATTATTCTCATTCTCTTCTTGATATCACATCATATGCAACCAATGGCAATCAGATATTCTGCGTGTTGGGTTTTTTTTTTATTTTTAAATTCATCTACATCCATACTACATGTAATGAATGTATTCTACGTACATGTAGGCTATAGACAGTAAATATTACAGTATTCACAAAAATAATTCTCACGAATATTCAAACTCATTTTTTAGTACTCGTAGCATTCAGGCAATTTATCATTTTATATCACATTAACACCAACAGGCAACATCATTAGATTTTCTCTCTTATACAGAATATTTAATACAACCTCATGGGTTTTCTCTAGGTCCACTGGTTTCTTACCGCTGCTAGCTAGACACCTACTCGCAAGCGAATTATTGAGATAAAATTGAACTGTATGTTAGTCCCAAAATGACAAAGTGTGTATCAAGTGGATGTTACACCTCCCTCTCTCTCTCAAATACTGATTCAGAACTGTTGATGTCAAGTTGAAACTAATAGAATTAGATTTATACAGAATATTTATTAATATTAATAGCATTTGTTGAATAGGGAATTAGCAGAACATTTGACAAAAAAGAGTATCGGTAACCAATCCATAATATCATTAAGATGTTGGCATTAAATACATGTAAATTGTATAGGCCTAATTAAATAAGTGGACTATAGATTTGCTGGGAAATGATGTGAATCAGCTTACTCAATACCGTATTCAGTAACCTACACACAGTAAAAGTAAAAATGATTGAAACCATTTGGATTTAATGGACATGAAAGAGACATATGTAGGAAGTAAATGGTTTTTTCGTGTGTTACATACGAAACTGACTAATTATAAGTTCCTTCCGTACTGTACAGTCAGTGCCAGGTCACATTGACATAGACTATGTATATAAACTGGGTATTTATTCTGAATTTATCCATAAATCAATTACCGGAATATCCATTATATGCATGCCAGTTACAATATTGGCTTTCCCAAAATGAATTCTTACTCTTTTTTATATAAAAAAGTCTATTTTGAAAATACACACGGTCAATGAACATTCTGATTACTAGTAGTCTCGTACATGTAGTTCTGGAGAGAATGATTGATTTCCTGTCACATCTCTTACGGTTATTAATATGAACACAGAAATATCAAACTACGCATTATAAACTTTATCTTTGAATTAAAAACTTGCTGGCCAACTTTCTGTTTTATGTAATCAATCCCAAGTTGTACCATAAATGGCATTTAGTAAAGTTTCTGTGCGGCACTTCCATTTTGGGGAAAATATCAAATTTTCTACCCTAAAATGTACATGTACATGTACTCTGATTAAATCCAAGAAAACTGAAGCAATATATTTAAAGATAATCTCCCTGCTTGGATTCAATCAGATTAAAGAGAGGACCATCGATTCCGATTAAACCAAGAAAATTGAAGCAAAATATAAAGATAATCGGATTAAAAAGAGGATCGTTGATTTCCGTGGCTTAATCCACCCTAGAATGTACAAGTACTCTGGTCTCTGATTAAATCTAAGTAAACCAAAGCAAAATGTAAACGATCGGATTAAAAAGAGGACCATCAGAACTCTTTAGCACAAGCCTGGTATTTAAGGCACTTGTCACAGATGGATACAGTTCCTCTGGTGCTGGGTCATTTTATCCTGCTGACACTACTGATCTGTCTACTCCCCCCAACCATGTTTTTATTAATAATTGATCAATACAAAGTTCAAGTTACTTCCAGGCATGTATTTTGTACACGGTGAAAAGTCCATATGCTGGTTACACTATTTTGCCTTATTACACTATTTTGCCTATACCGTTTTTTTAGGACTTCGAATTTCGTCTAATGGTTTGGATTGTTCGTACTTGGTTTTATTTTATGTATATACATGTATTCTATGTGGTACTGTACTGGTACCTACATGTACGATTATAACAGATTTCTCCAAGACTTGTGTAATTGTTAAAACTTTAAATTTGATTTATTCTGACTTGTCTCTTCTCAGATAGATGATGTTTTAATGTTTGGTTGGCTTAAGTACACAAATTATGTAAGCTTACATGCACATGTAGATTCAACTAGTCTCTTATCAGCTGTTTGGAATTTGGATTAAACCAATGTGACTGGTTTGAGACATCCGGTAAATTCAAATTTGAACACACAGTCGTGTGTAAGTTTGGGTAATTTTTGTCATAAAAATGACTAATTTAAATCTGACTTGTGGTCCCCTTTTGAAGTTTGTCAATAAATATTCCATTGAAGGAATGAAGTTTCTTCTCAAGATGGTAAACTTTTGGTGACACCAAATAAATTCTTCTTGATAGTTTGGTTAAAGATACACTATGGGAGATTAGATAACGAGTTTGCAGTTCTCACTATAATAATAGTTAAAAAAAACTAGATAATGTAAAGGCAATTTGCTGAAAATTTCAGTCAAACTGATACACTATGAACCGAGAATTAAGCGATTGAAATTTCCTTCTGGCCTAGATCATCATTACTAAAGTCGGTACGATAAAAAGCATAGTCTCGATTAAAACCATTTAATAATTAAATCATAAGGAAGTTAAGCAGTAAATCGGGACATAATCCCCTAAAGATCGCAGGCTAGCGATGCCATCGAGAGTTGATTATGGTCTGGATAAGTTAATTAATATCTAATTAATAATTTAGATAACATTTCAGGCCTAAAGAAAGACCTGCGATAGGCAGATTTAGCTCTTGCATAATTTATGTTTAAGATTTCAAATTTGGTTATGTCTGGGTCGACTGTCAAGGAACTATATATTGTTCAAAATTTTACTATCACCTCCATCACTTTTATTATTACAAAAAGGAATATTTTTGTTATAAATGATAAATCGATAGGCCTATTAATCCTTAAGACTAAAAAGAGTAAGAGGCATGGCATGATATTAATTATTATTAATGGTAAATGCCGAAAAATGGTAATTGATTGACAACATTTGTAGTACTAATTTTTTTTATCCTAGCACTGTTATTTCAATATATTTGGAAAACATCTCAGAAAATATTACTAAAGTGGAATAAAAAATTTGTTTCAGTAGATTTTGACACTGGGTCTCTGGTACAGACAACATTGAATTGAACTAGAATACTCTAGATGGTAGGTACCTAGGCCTACAGTTCAACCAGATTTAGCCTACCACTGGTACTGGTATAAGTAGGCTACCAGTACTCAAATATTATGATCGCAAAGTTCAGTTAATCCAGACGATTCTCTGATTTGTTGATCAGTCAAGATCAGGTTTTTTGTCTTTATATTGACTATCTGACATCATCACCCAGTGAAATTTGTTGTATCCACTTATCAACCCAAGAGTTAGACTAGAGAAACCTTTATCAAATAGTGAAACACTTCATAATTTACACATTACTTTAAACGATTTCACGAACTTAAATTAAAATATAGGCCCTAGGTCAGTCTCTCCAGGAAACCTTGATCAGTTTCAACGATTCCGTCGTGCGGATACGGGTCTTCCATTTATATCAGACAATAATAATGGCGGCGGCAGGTGCCCGAATGTTTTCATATTTACCTGACATACACCACACTGTTCCAATAAACACCGCCACAAAGGCAATAAATAAACCCTTCGCCATTCTTCAAACACGCATACGCACAACAGTATACCTAAGGACCAAATAGAGGTTAAAATTTATCAAGAAATTAATCCGATATCGCCTTTTTCCTCAATAACAAAATGAAAATGGCCGACACTGAGAATATTATAATCAGCCGATGACGTAAACGTCTTGCTTAGCACGCGCTGAAAATAAAATATCAGGATTTTCCAAAATACATGAATTTATTTCCTCTTTCAATTGAATCATATGTTTGTTCAAAAATTTCTGATTGTTATAAAAACAATCACATGGGAAACCATATGGCACGCCTTGCAGGTTAATTACTTTCTTTAAATAAACGGTAGGGTAAAGTGAATAAATGGAACAGCGGAAGTTCGCAGGAGAAGTCGTAATTTACATATTTTCCGAGGTGAACGACAGAAAATGGCGACAGGAAAATAAAGACGCCTATATATTCTCTGCGTAGGTGTATTATTTGTTAAACTTAATGCTCATTATGTTGTTTTTATCTTAATATGATATTCATACAATGAAATATCACCTTAAATAGTTACCACGTCTATTGCTTATTGCACCAATGTACCTTTGTATGATGTCAACAAAAGTTAAAGAGGCAGTTCCAGTAGTGACACTGACAGTGTAATTGTCATTCGCAATCAGTAAGCTGAAGTTACAGTAGTGCCCAGCTAATATTTCCAATCAGATACGAGAAATAAAATAGTTTGATTTTGTATTAATTGTTAAATTTTGTAACTTTAAAAAAGAGGTTTTTTTTTATGCAACTGGTTGCTGCCAGTCTGAATCAGTTTTGTTGAATTTGTTAACGGTAGTTTTCTTTTATTGGCGTGCTGAAGCTGATTGGATATTTATAAGGGTGCTGAATGCTACAACAAATTGAAAGCAAATTGTCATAGGCTCGGGTATTGAATAACTTAACTTATTTTTTGTTGGCTAATATTCTAGACCTTGCACTGAAGTTCAGTGAACGATTACATAACATTTCAGTCTTGTGACCAAAAGTATGCCTATGCACTTAGGTTTGTTCGGGTTTGTTGTATGCTCAAATCTTTCAATACTATCTTAAGAAGTTACAGCCTTTTGAAGTTTACATTGGTTTCTATTTATTTTGCATCACCATTTTTATCTTTTAGACAAATACAATATAGTTGCATTAGCTTTTTTCCCGTAGAAACCAGTTCGTTCTTTCGAGAAGGTCTTTACACAATTTTGACTTGTCTGGCTTGTTGAACCTTTACATATAACTTAAGCAAAATAAACAACTTCATATATACATTGTAAGGTATTAGAATATGAGCAGTGGTACATGGCATAGGGCCTGGCAAAGACAGCTACTTAGTTGCTCGTATGGGATGAAAAAGGGAGGTCTGGTATACACGTTGGCTGGAATTGTATATAAGAGTAGTCTGTAGCAAAATTTCCCTCATGGCACACTGTATGGCATGCGCCCATCTTTATTAGACAAGTAGGACATTAAACCCCATTTCATGTCATTTCATTTCATTTAGAAAATACATGTACATACAAAGTTTGAAATAGGGCTCCTTCCATCCTGGTTTAGTTTCTCATAAACCTTTCAAGATATCTTTATGGCACAGGATGCACACCTCTAACTATTACAGCAATTATGCATTTGGAAAGATTAAATCTTCTCCATATTTTAACATTGAAGTCTCTGAGTCTGAACATCATATGAGGGATTGAGGAAATTTTAACCTCTAAGGAAGATGGCAATTGTTTTCCATTCATCATATCTTTTCAAGTACCGGTACTGAACTGGAATGATTTAAAACCCTCTAGTTATGATACTGATGTTCGTTCCAGCCCATCAGTACAATCTTTTAAATGTGGTCTAAAACTTAATTATTCAAAAAAGCTTTTACTTAGATATTATTTATTATTTTATTATGTTACATCTTTTCGTAGTCTTTTTGTTTTAATCTTTTATCAGTACAATGTATATGATTGTAATCATGGTTTTGTAAAGCGCTTCTGAACACAGTTGGTGAAACTAGCGCTATATAAATGTTTAATAATAATAATAATAATATTCCTTTCAGGGATTCAACAATATTGTAAATCGCAAATGATTCAAATTAATGCACCAAATGAAAATCAGTGTCTTTAAGTTTTATTCTTGAGATTTAGTACAAATTTTAAAGAGATATTAATTTGTTTTCTAGATTATGGACCAGAAACAAGAATAATGTAGATGATTTGAAAATGGAAAGTCAACACCAGTAAGGTTGTGCCTGAGTTAAACCCACCGAAGATGGAGGCCATCAAGATGAACATTGTTATTGTTGCAGCATGTACGATGTTGGTTAGCTCATGGGTGTATGGAATGGAACTGAAACTTATCCAGCACAGTTGTCCGTCTAATTGTACTTGTGATATAAAGGAATATTCTATTATATGTGTTGTAAATGATCAATCAAGTATAAATGATTTAAATGGCTATTTTAATACACACCCAATCACTTCTTTTGCAATTCATAAAAGTGCTCCCGTTTCTGCTATGCTCAAATTACCAGTGGAACGAGTGCAGAAGTTGAACATTTCGGATAATATGATTCAAGTTCTTCCATCCAATATATTTTCCAGATTTCAGAAGATTAGAGTACTAGATATAAGTTTTAATTATATAGATACTATAGAAGAAAGTGCCTTTGAAAGTATAAGTGATCATATTAATGCCTTAGATATGGGTTATAATAAACTTGGCACCATTCCATCTTATGCATTCCAGTCAATGAATAATTTACGATTTCTAGATTTGAATAACAATCGTTTGGAGTTTATACCCCCTGATGCATTTAATGGGCTCATTAATTTGGAAACCCTCGATTTAAGTTTTAATAGACTCTCGTTTTTATCGTCCACACACTTTGCAAATCTGGTTAATTTGACGACATTGCTTCTTCACAACAACATATTCCGTACATTCCACCAAGATGTTTTGCCCAGTCTTTCAAATATTCAGTCAGTGGATATGTCTTTCAATCCATTTGAATGCTCTTGTGCTATTAGTTCTTTTATTACTACAGTGAAGAATAGTACCAGTTTTATTCACTTGGACGACACAACTTGCAACTCGCCTACAAATTTAAAAAGAAGACTTCTCTTAGATGTTGATGTTGAATATTTGAATTGCAGCCATCCAAGTATCGCCTATTTATCCCCAGATACAAGTATAATAAATCAAGGAGATTTGTATTTATCATGTCAAGTGGTAGGCTACCCGAATCCCTCCATTATTTGGGTGACACCGTGGGGTGAATCCTTTTCGCATCACACCTACCACCATCTTATCGGTGATGACGCAACTGATTACAATATTCAAAATTCATACCTAGGAGAAAAACAATTCTTTTCCTCTCGTGTTCATGTTTTAGAAAACGGAACCCTGCACATTAATAAATTTCGAGGATACTTTGCAGGAAATTTTACTTGTCTTGCAATTACACCAATTGGTAATGTCTCGGCAACTGTGAAAGTTGATATTTTTTCTACATTCCGCATTGTATATATTACAAGCCTTATCATTGGTGGAATGACTGCTGCAGGATTTGCGGTGGTTGGTATCATCATTGGTATTATTTTGACCCTTGTTAGGCGTGTCTGTTGTCGAAGTAGATTCATGGAAGAAGAAAAGATCGAAAAAGTACCAGAAATCGTTATTATTACTACTAGCAGTAATGAAAATGTTTCCTGTAACACTGAAAAGGATGAGTTAGATGAGGGTGATGATGATGATGATGATGATGATTCATCAGCAGATACTCCATTGGCTTCATCGTACGTCAGTAGTACTTTAACCGACTCGCCGAAAAAATATCACAGTCCACTTTCGGAGAGTCCACCCCAAGGCTGGCTAGCATCCAACATGATCGAAACTTTGGATGAAGTAAGAAGCAAACTCAGATATGGAGTTGAGAGAAAGATGGAAACTGTTCGAAGTCATGCCAAGGCCATCAAAGACAGCGGTGAAAAGAGGATAGAGAATGTGCGGAAAAACGTCAAAACTATGAAAGATACTAGCGAAAAGAAAATCGAGACAATTCGAACAAATGTCAAATCTTTCAAAGACAGTGGTACAGTTTATATGCAGAGTATCAAAGATACCAGTAGCCATGCTGCCAATAAGGTTCGCGCTGGAGTGGTTTTATCCGTAGAAACGGTTAAATATACTGTCCAATCAATGAAAGAGATGTGTGGTACTGGAGAAATGGGTGGACAAACCATATCAATGATGTCCGTAGAAACAGACATAGATTCCAATGAATCAAAAGAAATTGTTAGATCAGTTACATTTGTGTGAATGATCGAATGAATATATGAATATTTTATAGTGTATAAGGTTATAATATATACATGTATGACTTATCACAATTGATAAGATTGTAAAAGTATTTATGTAGACTTTTATTTTACATATCTTCAATAATATTGTATGATATACAAATATTGTACCATGTAGATTTAGAGAAGCCTTTAATTACTATTTTAATACTAAATAAGCTTATCCATAATTTTTATTTGCAAGACTAAACCCACTGTGTAACGTACCAGTATGCTGTAATTAGAGCTGTGTATGGCGACTGAAAACCGTATTGTGATATCTCAAAATATATTGCAATACAAGGAGAGAAGTAGGCCTACGTAGTATTATATTGTTCACACTCAGTATGATCAATATTTTTGTAATTTAGCATTTAATTCACTGTTTATTAATGCCCAACTGAGAATATTTGTGTTCAGGCTTTTGCCATTCCAGATGGACATGTCCGGCATATATGGGATATAAGGACAAAATAGAATAACTGTTGTATTGCAAAATATTGTGAGATCCATTTTTCCATAGAAACCATATCTTTATGCAATGAGCAATTTTGGATATATATCTGGACATTAAAAAAATGATTTTTATTGTTATTGCAGAATACAGTACTACATAAATAAAGGTCTTAAAAATTTCTATATTTTATAAAAATTCTGGCTATGTTTTTATGTATTTAATGAAATTATATGAAAAAGGATCTGTTTAGAATAGATATAATTAAATTAAAGAAAAAACCCCAGCAAATATAGGCTATTTGGAAACTAAGTGAAAGTACATGTAGAGTGAAAATATTAATATGCCAAATTTTGTATTGCAATATATCGGGTTTCTTTGACAGCCACACAGCTGCAATGTACAAAGTTTGTACATAAACCAATAACTACATTGTGATAATTGTGATACAGAATTGATTTAAATGAATATACCAAAATACATTGTATTAGACTGAATATACATGTACCAGGATACATTATATTACTATTAGATTGAATATACCAGGATACATTATATTACATGTAGACTGAATATACCATGATACATCTGAATATATCAGAATACATCGTATTAGACTGAATGTACCAGAATCAATTATATTAGACTGAATATACCAGGATACATTATATTACATGTAGACTGAATGTACCAGGATACATTATATTAGACTGAATATACCAAGATACATTATATTACATGTAGACGGAATATACCAGGATACATTATATAAGACTGAAAATACAAGGATACATTGTATTAAACTGTGTATACCAGGATACATTACATGTATATTAAACTGAATATACAAGAATACATTGTATAAGATTTATTGAATTAATAGAGAAATAGGGTTTAACATCCTGATTTAATATGGTTACCCAGATGTTAAAATTTGCTATAAGCACTATGATAGGTGCTATAGATAATCTTATGTAGATTGTATTCATCATTCAAGGGTGTGTGTTGAGATGTCTTGGTTATGGGTATGTAAATATGAAAATATATTCTTTTTGCAAGATATGGTTAAATGTTTTTTAATGTGGCTATGAGTCTATTTAAGCTAGAATAATTTGTTATTATAAATAATATTTTATTAATAATTGATAAACATGCATATTAATTTAGAAATTGTAAAGGTTGAATATTGCCCATTGTATATCTCTATATAGCGAAAATCTATTTTGGTTGCTAATTAATCTAAGAATTATTATCATTATTATTTATCTTCTATAGCGCTTCATTATATTCAGTGATATATAAGCGCTTAACAAATGTCACATCACAGTTTGTAATAATATATAAACAAGTGTGTTTTTAACTCTGATTTAAATTTTAACAAAACTTGAACTTTCTCTAATTGTTTTTGGTAGAGTTTACAAACATATTTGAGAAGTGTGGAAATTTGTAAGATTCAATATAGTTGTAGATGACCATAACATTGTACATGTACATTATAACTCCATGCTAAGACTAAAATGGTTTGCTTTCCTAAATTACTAACAATACAGGGTTTGACAGTTGACAATGCATTATACCATCATCATCTCCAAATTATTAAGGCATACATACACATTAAGCCTTTTAAAGAGAGAAATCCAACACCCCACTTGAAGTTGAAGTCAATTTTTATAATGAATTAATAGGATCACAGTGTGATTCAATTTCATTGATGCAAAGCATTAATTGTGAAATCACATATGTCTTCATTGTCTTGCACTTTGAATGCCCATCCCATCCCACCATCTGATTTTAAAGGATAAAGCACATGACCCTTACACTTTTCTCATAAACCCCACTTCCTCAACCCCTTAAAACCACAGTCTGGATCCGCCCCTGCAATATTGCTATTTTAATCCTCCAAATTAATTAGACCTAAATGTATCAAAATATTGTATTAAATAAAAAGAAATAGTAGATGACTGCCACAAAAGCAAAATACATTATTTCCAAGTAGTTTGAAGTCGTCTAGAGTTCTAGGTCCATGTATGAAGTCTCTAAGCTCAATTTTCTTGTGCAGTTACTAAACCTTGCCTACTTACTTTAGAAAATCAGATGCCATTGCTATGTTCAATTAGCTTATCACTTTTATATATATTATGATTGTCATTACTTGTATGTTCTTGTTTTTATTTTCCATCGTGTATTTTAGTATATAAATGTCTAGATGATTGTTTAGTGATCTCTTTGTATTCTCAGGTAAAGTTTTCAAAATGAGCAAAAATAACATCATTAAAATCAAATAGTTCTAATCTGTGCATTGTTACACATGTAGACAACATTATAAAACATGCATGCTTAAAGATGCCTTTCTATGTTCAAACTATATGGGGGTTGAATGGCCGAATGGTTAGTGTTTGCGCGCTGTATCATAAGGTCTGTCATTGAGTCAACTGTGGTAGTTTCAATTCCCCGGTTGTATGTGACAAGGAGTAGGGTTGCCTGTCCAACCTCGTGGGTTTTCTCCAGGAGCTTCGACTGCTAAAGACCCCTATGTGCAAGGGAATTATTGAAATAAAATTGAACCATGTGTTAGTCCCGAAATGACCTATTTTGTGTTGAGTGGACAGCCTTGTTTGTCACATGACTTCGACTTAGGGAGAATCCATTTCTAGCTTGTAATTGTTGTTACTTGTTGTTCATTTATCATAGCCTAAGTAATTTCTTGGATCATCTTGTGCCTACATCTTTTTCCGTGGTGGTTTAACCACACAATCTGTTGTATGTTTAAGTCTCGAGCTGTTCTCACAATTGCTGGCTATTCGATCATTATGCACTCCATGGGTATCGGGTTATATAAAAAATGTTATTGGATTCTTCATAAATAACTAACAGTTTATTAGTCATTTTGATTACTTTTTTTATGAGGCTTTGATCAAACGTTATGACTGTTCTGCCCATATTTGGGGTCAAGGTCGTTTCATTTATAACTCCTATAGACAAGCCTGCACTACCTATAAGTTCAGCTTGTATTATTTTGTATATGATGAGCAATATTATATTAATGTTTCATATCTATGCACATATTTATGTTATTAATGTCAATATATGTATGACTTGAATGCAGTCTTATTTAAACAAAGGTCTTCTCAGACTTTGTCATGTCCATTTATTAAAATGGGTTCGTCCGTCTGTCTGTCTGTCTGTTCAAACTTGGCATAGGTGTTTATTAGGTCAATGCCTTGATGGAGTATGAAGATGAGCATTTTTTGCTTAGGGTAAGTAGAGATAAGCAATTTGATTGGTTGATGCTTTGGGACACGATAACTTTAGTTCCAATTAAGTGAAAGTGATGAAACTTGGTGTATAGTTTCATTACATCAATACCTTGACTAAGTTCGATATTGAGCATTTTCTGCTGAGGGTAAGCAATTTAATTGGCCGAGACTTTGGAACACAATAACTCTCCTTCTAATTGAGCTAGACTGTTCAAACTTGGTGTAGGTGTTTATGAGGTCAATGCCTTGATAGAGTGCGAAGATGAGCATTTTCTGCTTATGGTAAGTAGAGATAAGCAATTTGATTGGTTGATGCTTTGGGACATGATAACTTTAGTTCTAATTAAGTGAGAGTGATGAAACTTGGTGTATAGTTTCATTACATCAATACCTTGCCTAAGTTCGATGATGAGAATTGTCTGCTTAGGCTAAGGAGCAATAAGCATTTTGATTGGTCAAGACTTTGGAACATAACAACTCTGCTTCTAACTTGTTGTTGATGTTCGTCTTGACCGAATTCAATGATTAACATATCGAGCTAAAGCTAAGCAGAGATAAGCAATTTCCTTGGTCGATGCTTTGGGACAAGATAACTTTGATTCTATCTGATAGAGAGTGATGAAACTTAGTGTATAGTTGATAATCAGTTTGACTGCTTGATACTTTTGAAAAAAATAGATGTGCGATTAATTAATGTGTCATCTATTTATTTGGGGATTTCGGCGGGGGACATCAGCCTCACTGTTGGCTTGTTTTTATTTTTGGGGCTGTACTATGGCAGAATAATGTACATAGTTTTAAGCTCATTTTGTCCCAACATGTAACAATCTGGTTAAAACACAGATCCTATTTCGTTTCGTTTTTATAGTTCAAAATTTCGTTTTACTTGTCTTTACTACACTAGTATCTGGAAGAGTTGTTATCATTGACGTATTCTGGATGGTGTGAGGGATTAGCCAATAAAACGGTCTGTTACGGCGAGCTTTAGGCATGTTTTGCACGGAACTCTGGGTAGTCCACTTGTAACATCAATGCTGATTGGTTAATCAAATGTCTGATGTCATAGGGTCAAAAGCCACTCGTATGACCTCTGACGCAACCTTTCACTACAACCGGTAAGATCTTGATGTAGTGTAGGCCATCGAAAGTATAAAAAACGTAACGAAATATAGATCTGTATTTTAATCAGATTGAACATGTAAGTAAATTGTGAATATTTTTATACGCACTGAAACAGAATTATCAGTTGATGACTGTATAATTAGGCCACAGCAATTTGTTTTTCTGTTCTTGGGGGAACACCTGTTGTAGTTCTTCTTACTTCTTGAGGTAAACGGGGGTGTTGGATGGTCCAATGGTTAGCATGTGCGTAGGACTAGGGTCGCCTGTCCAACCTCCTGGGTTTTCTCCGGGACCTCTGGTTTCCTCCCACTGCTGAAGACCCCTATGCGCAAGGGAATTATTGAAATAAAATTTAACCATGTGTTAGTCCCAAAATGACCTATTTTGTGTCTATGGATGTTAAACCCCATTTCTCTCTCTCTTTCTCTTGGGGTAAACTACTAATTAAAAAACCAAAATGTACATAGAATTCAAAAGCTTTTAGTTCCAAATTGATTGAGTTTTGAATTTTAAACAAAACATCTTTTGTGTGACTCAAGTGGCTGTCAATCTGATTAAAACACAGATCCAATTTCGTTTCGTTTTTATAGTTCAAAATTTCGATTTTACTTGTCTTTACATGTAGTGTAGGCCATCGAAAGTATAAAAAACGAAACGAAATATAGATCTATATTTTAATTAGATTGAGTGGCTGTTTACTTTTCAAGACCCTGAAGAACTGAAATTGGTTTGGCCTGACAATGAAATACTGAATGATGGAGATATATTTTATAAGTTCGATCAGTTGATTACTGTATATTAACAATGGAATACTGAATGATGGAGATATATTTTAAAAATATGATCTCACAATAACTTAACTGTATACATGTATATATTTAATAATAATAAAAACAATTTTAACTAAAGCAATTGTGATATAAGTATTATATTGAAATCTAGATTTGGTCACAGGGGCAGAGGCGTAGCCGTGAAATATATATTGGGGGGGGGGGTCAGCAACCCTAACCCCTAACCCCTAACCCTAACCCATTTTTTAAAACCCCTAAAAAATATAAACAAACACCATGTGGCCATGCTGTCTACCAAGACTCTGGGTGCAAAAGCCTTATGGTTACGTTGCTGGCTGAGCGGTTGATTTGGTTTAGCGGTTATGTTTTTGGGTACCTACATGCGATTCACACTGATAAATGGCAGAAAAAAAATTAACAAAATATTACTGACAGGCTAACTAGACACAATTTTATGGAACACAGGTACTTTTCACTTCACATGTTTCCAGGATGATTATCTCTGTGTTTTAATTTAGCAGTATAAACCATATTGGGATATCTCTGTGTTTTATTTTAGCAGTATAAACCATATTGGGATATGTACAGGTTTTATACAGATAGAATCTTAACTAATCCTAATAATTGTTGTAAATAAATAGGAGTTTGGGCCTACTATGTAATTTTTTTTTTTTGGGGGGGGGGGCGGGTCCAAGTATATTCACCCCCCCCCCCCAGAAAAACAATTCGTGGTGTCGGACCCCCCCCCCCCCATGTGTGACGCCCATGCACAGGGGTGGAGTGTGTGACAAATGCACCCATGTCATGGTTTGGCACGGCATCCTGTTCGTTGGGCTTATCCCGCCCCGATGATGGGTGATCGAATACACTCTCTCTCTCTCTCTCTGAACAGTGGCGTGACTTCTGTCAGTACCCGTAATACAAGACCATGGGACCGTTCGACATAAAGGAGAAATCTCAAATATATGTTTCAGTGAGTCCGATCGGATTTAAGAGTCCTTTAATTTTGAAAACTCAGTGGCTCAATGAGTAAGGCGACGTTGTTTTTTTTGGGGAGGGGGGGGGGGACTTTCCCAGTGTTGAATAAAGGTCGGATCGGATGAAAAACTGAGGTCCTATGTAAATGTTTGCAGTTGTGATTCGACGAATTGTAGGCAAAAACGCCGCTGTTCAGGCCCCTTAGAACACTCCTTGGTGCATGTCCGTCCCCATTGGTGCACATTTCTGGTTTTTGGAATATTTCAGGTATTAATCAATAATTAAATGCGAAGTAGGCCTAAAGCCTAGTTGGCCCTTAATATGAACGAATAAAGGTCTAGTTAAAGCTATTCATATCCTGCAGACTCCAGTACCCTATACGGGGGGGTTGGATGGCCGAATGGTTAGCACGTGCGCGCTGTATCATAAGACCTGTCATTGAGTCAACTGGCGTGGTTTCGAATCCCCGGTTGTACGTGACAAGGAATAGGGGCGCCTGTCCAACCTCGTGGGTTTTCTCCGGGTCCTCCGGTTTCCTCCCACTGCTAAAGACCCCTACGCGCAAGCGAATTATTGAAATAAAATTAAACCATATGTTAGTCCCGAAGTGACCTAGTTTGTGTCGAGTGGACGTTAAACCCCATTTCTCTCTCTCTATACATCTAGGTGTAGGGTACTGGAGTCTGTCGAGGTTTGCCGAGTCATCCCGCAATGTATTCATATCCTGTAACTTCGGCCCTCCCAAATTGGGCTCCGCATTTTTTTACAACCAACTGAAACAAATAGGATTCATCCTCTCATAGTCCTAATGCATTTTGAAAAACGTAACTCCGGAAGGTTACGGCAAGCTGAATATAGATAACTAGGGTTCGTCCTCTCTTGACCCAATACTTCACAAAGTTTTCGGAAATGGACGTGCTGGGAGTAACTCCCGAACGAAAGGTCGCGGAACGTTGAATATCTATAGCATTCGTCCCCAGTGCTTCATGGCAAATTTGAAAAAAAAAACATCTGTTATTAACTGTAGCCTTTATCGCGTACATACGATTTTCAGAAAATAGATACCCGAGGAAAGGAAGGCCACGGAACGCTGAATGGGACGTTACTCCTTTACGATGCAAATGGAGGCAGACCACCATTAAATTTCACCATCTCGGTACCCCACGAATTGTAGTTCGTCTATTTATAGCAATTCTCTCTCTCTCTCTCTCTCTCTCTCTTTTCTCCCCTTTTGCATGCCCATATTTGTTGATTTTTTAGTCAAGAATGGACGAAGAGGGTTTGAATTAACATTTTCTGCCAGGTTTTGGTAAATATTCATGATTTTGAGGCGGAAGGATAACAGGGTTATCAGGTTGGCTACGGCGATATGTACTGCAACTAGTTACATGTTTTTTAGTATGCATCTTCAAGTTTGTGTATCTCAAAATTTTGGTGGTCAACCTCATACAAATTTTAGTGCAAAGACATGACCATTTGTTCCTCTGTCTGTAGTGAAAAGCATTCAGCCCAACGAAAATTTGGGGAAAAGTTGAAGGTGGACAAAGAGGCAGGATTAACATAAAGTCAATGGGGAAATTATTGGTGGTCTGCCTCCAAATCAATGAAGTCGCATTTTCCCCATTTTTCTGCATGCGCCTTTCACACTTTCCTGCACATTAAACATCGATTTATTATATGGAATACAGTCAATATTTTATTACAGTACGACGTTACGAGAACTAGTCTTTTTGCTCTTAGATGTAAACGTAGCCTACCTGACAGTAAGTTGTTTTGAAAGTGTGAAATATTGCCCATAATATAAAGTTTGCTTTCACAATAGTAATATCACTGACAAAAAGCATGGGCGCCGTTCCGGCCTCTAGAAAATTTTGAAATTTGTCAATTCCGAGAACGCTGTTTAGAGCGCCCCTAGCATTCCAAATTCCAACATAAAAAAAGCCTTTAAAATACATGATAATGAAAGAGACAAAAGCCGGATTATTCACAATTTTCGTATCATGAGTAATTCATCTCATAAAACAATTGTGTAATTGATACCCGGGTACCCGGGTTCCGGCGCCCCTGGGAAAAAGAGCTTGCTCCATTTGCTGTCAAATAGGCCATGGGTTGGTTTACTGAGAATTTCTATCATTTTAGACAAACATCATGGATTCATCTTACCGAGTTGCCTCAATTGATAGCCATTACCTATCGTGGTTGTAGCCGCAGTGGGTGATTTAACGTCTGCTTCCACACTATCAATCTGATTAAAACACAGATGCTATTTCGTTTCGTTTCTTCCGATGGCCTACACTTATACACTAGTGTAGTACAGACAAATTAAACGAAACGAAATAGCATCTGTGTTTTAATCAGATTGCCACAGTATTTATGTAAATTAGCATTTTATTGCCTAACAAATAATTAATCGATTAATGAATGGATATACATACAGGCCTAGCGTTGGACCAAAGACATGCCAAAAAAATAATTACTAAAATAAACAAGGATTAACCACTTTATTCACAAGCTTATCCCCTGTTTGACACTAGCCGGGGATCACGTGGCTAAGTGGGTAAGACGCTGGCTCGGTAGCCTGGAGGTCTGGTGTTCGATCCCTGCATTGGCCGAGGAAATGAAATGAAATGGAAATGGGGTTTAACGTCCTACTGCTGACAAGGGGGAACCCGAGGAAGTTCATCCAGATTTTCCGGCGTGGTTTCCTCTTGTCAGTGATGCAGGACGGAGGGCCGGACAAGGGCAGCTGTCTAGTGGTTCGGATGGGACGACAAACCGAGGTCCCGTGTACATATTGGCGTGCACGTAAAAGATCTCTTGGCAGTTGGAATTCGATAAAAGAGTAGGCCGTAGCGCCGCTGTCCGGGCAAAATTTCCCTCATAGCACACTGTATGGCGTATGCCCGTCTTCATTATCCCAGTTTAGGAGCAAAACAGTAGGACGTTAAACCCCATTTCATTTCATTTTGACACTAGCCATGATATATTAATTTCTTCTATCCGTATTGACCATACCATACATGAGTCAGCTGGATCTTCTGTTTTATATTTTATTCTACACCATTCTATGGAATACAATTACTGCTTGTAATTGACTGACGTTTCGACTACAGCAGTGGTTCTCAACCCTTTTTTTTCCAACGGCACACCTTGGAACATACGAAGAAATAGCGATACACCTGGCTAAATATATATGAAAAATATTTTAATTTTGCAAAATAAAAACATGGCATACAACCGTCAGACTAGTCAGAGACACGTAGAATGACTCGAACTAAATAAAGAAAAACACCGCTATAAACTTATTTTATTGCAGTCTTTCGAATTTCATCAGTTAAAGATACATTATGGGAGATTCGGTAACGAGTTGGCAGTTCTCACTTTAATAGTTAAAAACTAGATAATGTAAAGGCAATTTGGTGAAAATTTCATTCAAATTGATCCACTATGAACCCAGAACTAAGCGACTGATATTGCCAGAAGCCTCGGTCATCATTACTAAAGTCAGTACGATAAACAGCATAGACTCGATTATCCATTTAATCGTTTAATCGAGAAGGAAAGTTATGCAGTAAATCGGCTTACAATCCACTAAAGATCGCAGGCTAGCGCTGCCATCTAGAGTTGATTATGGCCTGGATAGGTTAATTAATGTCTAATTAATAATTTAGATAACATTTCAGGCCTAAAGAAAGAACTGAAATAGGCAGATTTAGCTCTTGCATAATGTATGTTTAAATAGCTGGCTTCTTTAGTGAGAAATTTTCAAATTTCGCGGCACATTTAGGAAGATCTTGCGGCACGCAGGTTGAGAATCACTAGACTAGAGAATGGTCACCTGTGTATTCTAGTTCAATTACTAAATGCTATTAAAACAATTGATTTTATTCTTACGAAGAAGAATTTTAAAGCAAAACTTGTACATACAACAACGTCTTTACGTTATTACCTTTATTATGCCTTCTACAAATGTAAACAATCTTAAAAGCTCAATACCACTCTCGTTGTAACCGAATAATATGTCCCAATATTTATTCTGGTCAACAAATTGTACTATTTTACAATATTCCAATTAATTGATGATACAAATATTATCTTAACACACCTAATTTAGAAAAAATGGAAAAATTCAACTAAAT